GGGGAAAAGAGAGCAGGGGGATGATAGAGAGGAGGGCAGATTGGGAAAGGGTGTAATCAGAAGTACTTACTTCTGAGGAGGGACAGGGTCAAAAGAAAGAATAGAATAAATGGGAGGGCAGGATAGGATTAAGGGAAATAGAGTTAGTTTTTCACAACTTGTCTACTATGGACGTGTTTTGCATAACTGCACATGTACAACCTGTATTGAGTTGCTTGCCTTTTCAATGAGGGTGGGTGGGGAGGGAGGAAGAAAGAAAATTTGAAACCTAAAGTTTTAAAAACATATGTTTAATAAAAATGTTTTCACATGCTACTGGGAAATAAGAAATACAGGAAATGGGGTACAGAAGTCTATCCTGCCCTACAGGAAAATAGAAGAGGAAGGGGATAAGAGAAGGGGAAGGAGATAAGAGAAGGGGAGAGAGATAGAAGAGAGGACAGATTAGGGGAAGGGATATTCTAAATGCATGCCATCTTGGGGTGGGGGGAGGGGGAAATGGGGTGAAAATTTGGAACTCAAAAACTTGTGGAAGTGAATGTTGAAAACCATGAATGAATGAACGAATGAATGAATGAATAAATAAATAGCAATAAAAGCTCTTGCCCTGCATGAACAAGTATAAGAAAAAGAAAATAGAAAAAAAAGGTGATTACTAATGATTTTACATGTAACTATAAAATGCTGCTGTCTGGTTTATTATTATTTTTTAAAATTAACTTTTAGAAGGTAGCAACAAAATTGTCTTATGTGTTTCTTTGATTTCCTCTGAACGTCTCTTCTGTGTATTTATCTTTTGAAGACTGACTGAGATGCTGCTTTCTCAGTAAAGCCTTTTCTGAATCCTGACCTCCTCATCTAACACTTGATTTCAACTTTCTCAGAAAAAGTTAACTGTAAAATCCTAAATTATATGATATCTATTCCTTTGTCTTATTTTCTACTAGACTGTAATCTCCTTGAGGACAGGACCATGTCTTTGTTAAATTCCCTGGCACTTGTTGCTCTGTATATAGTATGTAATTACTGATTGAGTTGTTGAAGGAGTTAGAGAAGATAAAAAGAGTTTGAGTGCTTTTTGTTTGCTTAGGATTTATTTCCTCTTCCTCACCCTCCCACCTACTTTCAGGAGGATTTGAGCTAAATTTCAAGTTATTGCATGATGCAAAAAGGATAACTAAGGATAAAAACATCCAAAGGAAAGTAGAGGGATTAGATGTTGCCAGGTACCTGAGATGGATGAGTTGATTACTACAATTGGACACTGAATTTGGCTTAAATTTCCTGGCAGCCTAAGGTAGAAATAGAAACACCTTGTGTTTTATAGCTTTCATTTTTTGAAAAAAGGAAACATAGCGTTTCATCTGTAGAGTTTGAGTTGGATGCACTGGTTGGTTGAAAAGCAACTAAAAGTTAAAAGCTTCTTGAACCAAGCATGTGCCATCTTATGAAATCTGTCATTTTCATTACCAGTCTAGGAATTTGGGCTGATTTCCAGGATATTTGGGATTTTCAGGCATAAACATGCAAGGATATTGCCAAACACACCCTTGTGACCTCCCTCTCCATTTTCATTTCTTGTGTCCTAATGAGGTGCATACCTGTGCCTCTTTTCTGCACTGTTAAGTCTTGTCAGTCAACAAGGATTTATTGAGAGTACAGAGGATGCAGAGATGTTGTATATTAGGGCTTCTCTATACATATATATTAAAAAAGCTACATGGTCCCTATGTATCAGCTTACCATTTTAAGTTCTTATGTCAAAGGCCTATGTAGTAGTGTGGAAAGAGAGGCCTTCCTAATATCACTATTTGAAAGTAAATGGAGTGGCTGTGTTTCTTTATTGTATCCTGTTGTGTCTCATTTTCTCCCAGAGAAAATGGTGTCACAAAGCACAGTGTATCACATAATCTCACAGTTGGAGGAAAAACCCAAGAGGCCATTTATTTCAACTCAAACTTGATCAAGAGCCTTTCTATAACATTTTCAACAAGTGGTCATCAGGCTTTTACGGGAAGAATTCCAGTGAGGGAGGACTGGCTACTTTCCAAGGTACCTATCCTCTTTATATAGCTATATTTTTCTCTTATTTTGAAAATGCTTTTTTGAGCTGTTTTTTTTAAACACTTGTTTTCAGATGCTTTTATTCCTATCTTGTGTATACCTGACCTCCACAAACAACTTTATAATTCTTAGATTTTTAAGGTTCCTTCTCTGTGAGACTATCTTCAGTTTTTTATCTTGTATATACATAGTTATTTGCCTGTTTTCTTCTCCATTAAACTGTGAGCTCCTTGAGAGCACCCCCCTCCCCATATCATAATGCTTAGCACAATGTCTGGTACATAAGAGGGTCTTAATAAATGCTTGTTGTCTGCTTACTAGAGGTGTTGGGGTGAGAGCCTTATGCCAATGTCCTGTGTTCAGGTTCGACTTTGGGACAAAATGAGACACTTTGAAGTTGTTGAAGAGTTTATAAGTTAATAAAAGAAGGTTTGCTTAGTCCTAACCTAGCTAGACTAAATAAAAATGGATACTGTAGCACTTAGTTTCCATAGACTGGCCCCCTTGTCTCAATGGAAATGTATTTGGGCAGCAGGCCAAGTATGGTGACTCGGTGGTCTTTAGATATCTACCAAGTTTTGAAAGGACCCTGATTCCATGTAGGTGGGACTTGTTATTGGCAGGAACCAATCAGTCACCAACAAAGCCCTATTGCATCCCTTTGGCAGGAGAGGGGCTGCCTGGTAGATATGGGTTCTGTCATAGGTGGTACTGTGGTTGGGTTGTTGAAGGTTGTATTAGTGGAGTGAAAAAGTGTGATGATGGAGTGTGGTTCTGGGGTCTCCAGAACCTCCTAGAGAAGTTTGGAGAGGCTCGTCACCAAAGGGTTGGCTATGATTTGAATAACTCATAAAACCCACTACGAAGGAGAGACTACGATTTTCATTTTTGGCCAAAGTACTTATACCAGGGCAGCTAGGTGGTGCAGTGAATAGAGCTCTGACCTTGGAGTCAGGAGGACCTGAGTTCAAATCCAGCCTCAGACACTTAACACTCATTAGGTGTATGACCCTGGGCAAGTCAGTTACTCCCCTTCACCTCACCAGAAAGTGGAAAAAAAAAGTGCTTATGCCAATGGAATAATAGATATTTTGAAGTTTTGAAGTACTTGAGTTATATATTAACGTAGCATAAAACATTGTAGTTTGCCTACTTAAGGAATTGAAACTTCCAAGGGGATGAAAACTGGTTAAAAACACAATACGATTGATATTTGATTTAGCTGGGGATAAGGAGGAGGTAGATGAAAAGGAAACTATCATTAGGTAAAAATAATGATGGGGGTGGATGTTAATGAAATTTTTTGTAGGAAGATGGTAGAGTGAACATTGGCCCTTGGTGGGGAGTGGGAAGCAGGATTTGAATGTTGGCTCTGACAGTTACTACCTATGTGGATACTGGGCAAGTCGTTTTATCCCTCTGAGTCTCAGTTTCTCGATTTATAAAATAGTGATTATGCTTGTACTATTTCTGTCACACGATTGTTGTGAGGAAAGTGCTTTGTAGACTTGTTCATTTGTTTCAGTTGTGTCTCATACTTTGTGAACCCATTCTTGGCAAAGGTACTGGAGTGGTTTGCCATTTCCTTCTCTAGCTCATCTGACAGATGAGGAAACTGAGGCAGACAGGGTTAAGTGACTTGCCCAGGATCACACAGCTTCTAAGTGTCTGAGGCCAGATTTTAACTCAGGAAGAAGGGTCTTCCTGACTTCAGACCTGGCACTCTATCCACTGTGCTTCCTAGCTGCCCTTTGTAGACTATATGGTACAATAAATGCGAGTTTCTATTAATAATAATAGTTATAATAAACTAACTGCATTAGTGGTTAGTGTTAGTTTGTTATTACTTATACTTATCATTTAAAAACTAACCATTTTAGTTAGTCATCAGCCATTTATTAAGCACTCTATCCACAATTTAAGGTATAGTGTTATATAATTGAAAATGTATTAGTTTGTTGCTGCATCTGCATGCATTTCATTTGGATTACTGGAGAGGAGGGGAATGAATGAAGAGAATAACTTCATGCTGAAATAATGTCCTTTTGTTTGTCCTTTGCCAGAGTGTAGGTGTCTGGTTTCACCTTAGGAATGAGCCTTTCTGCTATTTTTGCAAGCACAGTAGAACCCCGTTTTAAAAAGGTGCAGCTCATTATTGCTCAGGTTTGGCTTGGTGCCACCAGCTACTTCTTTTCCCTCTGCCTCTCAAACATAACTACTACATATAGTCAAAGACTAATATCTCATTATTAATTAGCTTTGAGACCTCAAGTAAGTCATTTCCTTTCTCTGGAACTTAGTTTCCCCATCTGTAAAATTACCATATTCTCCTTGATCCCTGAAGTCCCTACTCAGTCCAGAACTTCTGAGATGTTACCCTGGCCCCCAGTGTCAATCTTATAATGGATTCTTTTGAAAATGCTAGCAGATGTTTGCTCCTGAGAGATTTTTTTTCTTTCTTTTTTGGTAGCATAATTTAACAGAGCCAATGAGTTAATGATATTGCTTCATTCTTTTGTTTGTAATAATCATTGGTAGCTTTTGCGTTCCATATTCTTCCCCTTTAGTAAACTTGGGTCAGTAGTTAAGCATTTTTGTACTAAAGTGTCTTATAGTAACTTACCCAGGTTTAGCCTTGTAACCTTAATTATATGTGGAATGTCGAGAATGCCCAATGTTGTTTTCCTGTATAATGAGATAGTGAGTGTCTAATCATTTTATTCAAATATTAAAACATTCTTTGTTGCTTTAGCCTTTGACTTGCTGCTTAACTTATTCATGGAAAATTAATGTAAAGCCCAACATATTTTATATTTAATGACCTCTGCGTGTTTTGTTTGACATGAGAAATATCTGTTTAAAGACAACGTTCAGGTTACATTCTAACATACACTTCCCTCCCCCTTCCTTGTCTCTTCTCTCCCTTTTCTCTTTAGGGAGCAAAAAGTCTATTAAAGATGTTAAAAGCTGTATTGAAGAAGAGTCGAGAAGGAGGAAAGGGAAGCAAGAAAGAGTCAGGTATGTGTGTGAGGCGTCTGTATGTCTCTGTCTCAGTCTCTTGGTCTTGAGTTAATTTAATGCGGAAAACTATACCATATTTTGTTGTCGTTTTTGTTGAGTCGTTTCAGTTGTGTCGCTTTGTGACCCCATTTGGGTTTTTTTGGCAAAGATACTGGAGTGGTTTGCCATTTCCTTCCCCAGGTCATTTTACAGATGAGGACATGGAGGCAAAGGGGGCTAAGTGACTTGCCCAGGGTCACACAGCTAGTAAGTGTCTGAGGCCAGTCTTCCTGAGTCCAGGCCTGGCACTCTATCCACTATGCCAACTTTGTTGTTGTTTAGTTGTTTTCAGTTGTGTCTAACTCTTCATGACCCCATTTAGGGTTTTCTTGGCAAAGATACTGGAATGGTTTGCCATTTTCTTCTCCAGCTATATACAGTATACCATATACCAAACAATTACTACTCCAGTTTTCCCCCTCTGTTTCTCCAGTAGCTTTGGTTTTAAGAATCAAATAGCATTCTTGGTCTTATAGATTAGATTTATTCGATCCCCTAGGTGCTGCTGCCCCTCCTTTCCCTAAGAACTCTGTATTCTGTATATATTTACATATGTATATATCTCCTTCTGAAGAATGGAAGCTCTTACAGAGCAAAGACCGGCTCATTCTTAGGATTTATGTCCCTTTGCACAGTGCTTGGCATTGGGAGGCACTGAATTGATGCTTGCTGAATGACCCAAGCGCACAGGCCCGTATATTTAAGACTGCCCGGAGTTAGATGCTTTTCTCAGCTTAAAAAGCAGCTGAGAAACTCTGGGGAGTAGATGCTTTATTGAGCTCAGAAGGCATTTCTCGGTCCAGTGCAAGAAGTGCCTTCTTTGAAAATTGAATTTAGAGTAAATGTGCCCAAATTCTAATTCTTCTTCAGGAGAACTGACATAGGATAATTTAAAAAGTCCCACAAGCTCAGTTATTATCTAGGTTGCAGATATCTGTCGCTGTATATGTCTAAGAATCTAGTTTCTAGAAAGTACCCTCACTTTCTCTTGTGTGAACAGATTTTCTATGTTTAAGCAAATGTTGGCTAAAAAGCAGTCACCATCCTCCTTCAGAGGATCAAGTTTTGCCAGAGCAGGTGCAGAACCACTTAATGATGCTAGGTCACTAGTTCCCCTTGTAATGAGAACTGCTTAATTTGGCTTGAATTTCATTCCTGCTATACAGTTTTGTCCATATATATATATATATATATATACACATACACATACACATATAAATATATACATACATATATACATACATACATACATACATACATACATATATGTATGTATATATACATATATACATATACATACACACACACACACACACACACACACACACACACACACACACACATATACTCAGTTACTTTAATGACTTTCAAGGTAGGGCATGCCAGAAAAAAAAAATTGTGTGTGACAGAGCACTCTAGCAGCTTATTTAAAGTCAGTTTGATGACATATAGCATTTTTATAACGCATTTCCCTTCCCTAGGGAATACCTACTATGTGCATAAAATGCATAATTAAAATATCTTAGACCTAATTTATTTGTAAAGGGGGTGGGGGAAGGGAAAGGAATAAGTATATAGTACCTGCTATGTGTCAGTCACTGTGTAAGTTCTTTACAAATACCTCATTGGATCCTCACAAGACTCTCTCAGAGTAGGTGCTGTTACAATCCCTATTTTAAGTTAAGTGTCTTGCTCAGGGTCATGCAGCTATTAAGTGTTTGAGGCTGAATTTGAACTCAGATATTTGAACTCAGATATTCCTGACTCCAAGTCTAGCACTCTATATACTGTGCCATCTAGCTGCCTCCAATATAGTGATGAGTGAACCTCTTAAAGGTCTGAATAGTTGGAAAACATGGTGTTGAAGCTAATGTGATCCTTCTGGTTAGCTGAGTTATAACTGAAATTATGACCAAAAATTAACAAAACCTACAAGACATATATACAGTATAGGTTTTATGGGTTTTGAGTTATAATTTCAGTGTGTATAATCAATGTGATGATGCACATTTAACACTAAAAGTAATTTGGACATATTCCAAACACAGAAGCCAAACTCTCTAAGATTTAGGAGACACTTGACTGAAGGGACATCATTATGCCCATTAGTTTTCATGAAAGAGTAGTGGATTGAGTTCAGGGCTCAGGGCTCAGGCAGGAAGACCTGGGCTCAGATCCTGTCTCAGATCAAACACTTAATAGCTGGGTAACTTTTTGTAAGTCACTCAATCTCTCTGAACCTCATTTTCCCAGTCTGTAAAATGAGGATAACAATCAACAATTACTTATTAAGAGTTTGCTGTGTACCAGGCAGTGATCTGTAAAATGAGGATAATTAAGTTACTTATTAAGAGTGCTGTGTACCAGGCACTGTTCTGTTCAAGGTGTTGGATATTCAAAGACAAAAATAGCTTATGTTCTTTCAGTGAATAGTTCCTACCTTACAGAATTGTTTTGAGCATTAAATGACACATACATACATACATACGTACACACATACATACATGTGCATGTATATAAACGTATATATGTATACATGTATAAACACGTGCACGAATATGTATATGTATACACAACTTTGGAAATCTTAAAGCACATGTAAGTGTTGTTTATATTTATCATTGAACTTTTATTCATTATGAAGTTATTGTCATTGTTATGGCAAAAAAAATTTTTTTTTAAAGCTCGTGGAGACTTAAGATATTGTACTAAAATAGTCCCTAAATGATATCGATGAAACTTGCACTGTGTATGGTTGTAGCACAGTTTGAAAAGGGGTCTGTTATAAATCTCTTAATTCTAGAATAAACTTAAAAACAAAGGTGGTCTTCCCCTTTTTCTTTTTACAATAAGAACAGGAGGACAGAATTTGCCTCCTTAACCTCTGCCTCCCAGGAGCTGATTAGAGTTGTTAGTCTAACGGGAGGCCTAATGCAGAATATCTCCCTCCCCTGCCACTACTCCCACATAGACACCAGACTCCTTGGACACTTCTTTCCCTGTCCTGGGGCTAGACTGAAGTTTCTTTCTCAGTAGTTCCCCAAGCTCTGTTTAAATAAATCAATCCCAGTTTTGGTTTACCCCACCCATCCTGGGAACTTGCTTGATTGCCTTTGAAACATCTAGCCTAGACAAATTAAGTCCCAGGCTGCACTAGGGCTGGTGGCCTGGGGCAGTTTTGCCTGGGCCCAACTGATTCTAGGGCCACTAAACTAATCCTTTTGTTTGTTTGTTTGAGTTCCTTCCCAAATTCTAGTCTGTAAATTCTTTTAAAGCAGACCCATTACTCTTCCTGTTATACCCTTTACTAGAACCAGACTATTTCTTCCGGAAGTAACTAGTAACTGGTAATAAGGCTTTCAGACTAGGCAGACAATGGGAATATTTTGAGTCTGAAACATTTCCGATTTCAAAGCATATGCTTTTGAATTTATTTCCCCTTTTAAGCTGGGCCCATAAGAGAATGTTACTGCTTTTTCTTAATTCTTTGTAATAATTTCCACACTGTAGTTTTCCACTACTACAAACCAAGTTGGGAAAGTGAAGGGAGTATTTCTTATAAAGCATGACTATGGAATATATGACTTGTTTTTTTTTTTTAACCCAGGACCTGTTTTTCATAGTTTGGGAACAAAGAAATTTGAATTTGACTTCTATGGAGGAGTAATGGTAGAAAATACATCTTTGCAAAAACTATGAATTTTGGACAATTGGATCTTAATTCTCTTTCCGAACAGGAACCAATACCGTTAAACATAACTTTTGTATGTGAATCAGCATGATTATCTAGTGAGAATGTGCAAACTTGGATATGGGATATCCTAGAAAATCTAAAAAAAATGTGACTTTACTGTTTTTAATTAAAACTAACCTGCAAGGATTTGCAGAGACAAAGAAAACTAGCTTTTTAAAGGTGCTTCTTTGTGACTAAAATAATTAAATACAGCAATCTCATTTAACCAGAACTATATCTCCTATCTGCAAAATATATTTTTCTGTTTGGAACTTGTAACATGGAGAAATTGAGAAGTTAAAATTCACCCAGAGTTATATTTTTACGTTGATGTTTAATGAGTACTAACATCCTTTTCCAGAAGTACTAGAAAAACTGTGCCCCTCTTCTAACTCCCACCCTTTGTTTATTGTTAGTAAGTTGGTTTTTTTGAAGGAAAATTTCAGAAAAAACCTTTTTTTTTTTTTGAGGCAGCCAGATGACATGGTGGAGCAGGCCCCAGATTTGGTGTCAGGAAGACAGGAGCTTGAATCCTGCCTCAGACAGTTACTAGCTATGTGACCCAGGTCCCCAAGCTCATAACCTAGATGTCATCTTCACCTCCTCCCCTTTCCCACTTCCACACCCCCTCTCATCCATTGTCCAATGCTGTTGATTTTACTTTTCATAACATGTCCAGCATATGCCCCCTTCTCTCCTAATGTTGCCACCAGCTAATGTGGGCCCTCACTACTTCATTCCTGGACTCTTGCAGTAGTCACCTGGTTGGTTGCCTGCCACAGATCTCTCCTCACTCCAATCTGTCTTCCTCAGCAAACAGAATGATCTTTCTGAAGCTTAGATCTGAACATGTTACTCCTCTGTTCAGTAAACTCCAGTGGCTTCCTATCACTTTCACAATCAAATATAAAATCTCGTGTTTGCCATTCAAAGCCCTTCTTAACCTGCTTCCTCAGCCAAGCTTTCCAGTCTTAGAACATATATTCTCCCTTAATTCTTAATTAAATCCCTAATTTTTTGATTGTTTGCAATTCATTTGTATCTATATTGTTATCTAGTTGTTTTCAATCATGTCTTACTCTTCATGACCCGTTATAGATCTATATCTGTCTATATCTCTTGTCTGTAAATAGTTGTTTGCATGTTATCTCACCCAATTAGACTGTGAGCTCCTTGAGAGGAGGGATTGATTGTCTCTGAATTCCTAGTGCTTAGCACATTTCCT